TTTTTATGAAACGTTTGAAGAAAAATGGAAACGTTTCTGAAACATATCAGAAACTGAAAATGTTTAGTGGGATACAATACCTACATATTTATTTTAATACATATAATTTACTTGAATTTTGTACTAAATACAACTATGCCTAGCAAATTGTAATACTTACTCTGTTAATGTTTTTTCCTTCATATAACAAATAGTAAATTCCGCAAATAAAATATTTCGCAGCCACAATGCAACATTAAAAGATAACAGCTCAAAGATCCATACAAGAAATAATTACATTCGCACCTATTCTGGTCCGAACTCCGAATCCATAAAGTACTAAAATGTAGAAAATAATATGAAAAAACTTTTAGTTGGCTGCAAATATTATAAATTTGTACAACCACTTGCTATCCTCCTTTTTTTGTAAATATGTACATAATAATATGTAGAAGATAGAAAATAGAAATATTTTCAAAACAAAATACCGGCGGCCGCAAATTGGAGTTTTTATTATTTTATTACCCTTCTCTTTTCATATGCAATTATGAGATAGCAAGAGAGTGGGATGCACGTATAGGCCGGACAACTCATTATCGTGCACGTGTGCGTGCACCTGGCATTTTCTCGTTTTTTAGGTGTGTTTTGCCGGAATTTGAATGAATGAAATAATCGTACTATTTTTACTATAAACGTATTTCCTGTAGCGACATCTACAGTGTAGGAAAGTACCGATGGTCTATCAGAAGTTACGTGAGAGCGATAAAGTAAGCCATAGAAATCCATGTGATAGACAAGGATGGCTATAATGAAGGCGTCTAATAGTCAACGCCCATTTCGCCCTTCCACAAATAGGAAGTGGATCTTATTTGTGGAAGGGCGAAACGGGCGGTGACTATGAGAGGCCTTCATTATAGCCATCCTTCTCTATCGCATGGATTTCTATGGCTTACTTTGTTGTTCTCATGTAACTTCAGATAGACCATCGGTACTTTCCTATCCTGTATATGAATATTGTAGTACTTTGTTAGATGAAACGGGATTTCAATTTCCGTTCTTAAACCTAATCAGAGAATAAAACAGAATGTTTAGAGCATAAGCATTTCTAAATGATCTCATTATAAATCCAAGAACCTTTAAAGCAGAAAGCACAATATTATTAACGTGTTGTCTGAAGCTAAGACCACTGTCGAAGTAGGCGCCACAATATCAGTATTTATAGTTGTAGATCCAAGGAAATAGAATACGTGATTTTACATTTTTACATTTAGAAACATTGATATGAATGTGATATTTTTTACACCACTGTAAAATAAAATCAATAATTAATTGCAAATTATAACAGTCATGAATACTATTTATTTTACTATAAAATTTAAGGTCATTGGCGAAAATAAGTTTGGGGCATTTAATTAAGTTAGCCAAATCATTAATGAAAATAAAAAACAACAGAGGTCCCAAGTTGGACCCCTGCGGAACTCTTGTATTTACGTTATAAACATAAGATTTAAAACCATCATACTCGATAAATTGTTTTCTGCCAGATAAATACTACTCTAAAAACTTAAACGGGTTTAGAAAGTAAAACGTCCACTTGTTCTTGTTTATCAAGAAATTCACATAAATATTGTGTTAAGCAAGCTATATTTGTAATACAAAATCTATTTTCCATAAAGCTATATTGGTCAGGTGACGCATACATTTTAAATGATGGGCAAACGTGTTTGTACAAGATTATCTCAAAGAATTTTGAAAAATTACACAACAAAGATATGCATTTTAATTGTCATAACTTTTTTGTGCCTTAGTGTATTGAATTTTTAATGAAGTCTTGTATTCTCCGACGTTTTTTCTGAAAAAAGGTATATTTGGTTAATGTATCTTTGAACGACCGTTTTTTGGGTATCTAGGTTTCATTTCATAATCTCGCCACTTCTTCCCTTCTCACTTTATTCAGGCTTAGGACTGGCCTTGTAAAAACAACGACAGGAATGTAGAAGTAAACAGGCCAAGAACGTCCAATAATTCTGGTAAAGTGTCTTGGAGGTATTTCGAATAATGTTGACCATTTAAACGGGCGGTAGAATAACAGGAGCAAGGATAAAGTTGTCAATTATTCCCTCTCAGAAAATTTTCTTCCACAAAAATTCTGGTATTAACTAGGTCTATTCCGTTTGAAGTATATATATTTAAGGTTTCTTGAGTAATTCATTTCACGGCAAAATGGACAAAAGATTTTTTTCGTTATTTTGTCACAACATCTACGTTACGCCCTGTAGAACTGGTCACATGCCTTATGAAATTCATTAGAATTATGTTTATATGAACTTTTGTGAATATTTGTAATTAAAACTAAATAATTGAAGTCGGAATATATTCTATAATTCCAGTTATGAATAATCATGAAAATGTCACTATTAAACAGTAACATGAACTTGCGCTACCAGTTATTTACACTTCGTGTTTCCAGAGAAAATGTCGGATATATTTAGGAGCAATTCCAAAAAGAACAGTTCGATCCTGGCACACCTAAACGATAGCTCGCCATCAACGGGTCAAGAATTTAATATTAATTTTCGCTTCACTCGGGAAATGATGAAATACGTTATTTGCAACATGGGGTTTTTTGAAGTAAATGGTGAAAGAAATAGCTATTTATGGTATAAATAAAAGTAAAATAAATAGTAATGCATATTTATTAAATTATATAACAACCTAAAATAATACGAGTAATTCCACAATGATTTATCGTTAATCAATTTAGTTTATCCATTGTGCATAAATACAGGGTGATTCAGAACTTATTCAAAAAAAAAATTTTGGATGTGCTTTTACAAATACAATTTTGTAAAGAAAAGTTCAAAAAGGGCAGTTCGAAAATGATTTAAAAATACATTTCTGTGCGGCACTGGAAATTGGTCCACTGCAAAACCTGACCTCGCACAACGCGACTAGCATGGCGGTAAAGTGGTGATAAAAACGGTCAATAAATTCAACTGCTTTTGCCGCTATTGTTATTATTAATTAATAAAATTAATTTGTGAATTTCATTAATAAAATAATTTGACATTCCTGATGTTACAACTGTTCAAAATTTTGTCCACCGACGTGTAAACACAATTGCGGCCGTCTTAATTTCTACGAACTAACACAAATATTTCACCATAATACAAATGTTGTCTTTCTTCACCATAAATTAGAACGATATCCATCAACTCCGAGTTGCTATACACGCAAGCCATTTTTGACACTAACTCCTAAAAAAACTATTGTAAACACTATCTCAACGACGATTGTAAAATGGGATTTTAGTACTCGGAGTCGCTGAGGCTAAGTGAATCTCCACGCGTATTGCGAATGACTACAGTTGTCCAGCGATGTAATGCTTGAAAGTACTACAATTTCAATAACTTTTTTCACGGAAACTATAAGGACTGTACAAAATTTTTTTTACGAAAAGTTGTGAATCACCCTGTATACACATTTGGTTTTTAAAAGTGAATGTGTCTAGAGATTATTTCTATTTTTATTTACAATTTGGTGATAGAACAGCTTAAAGGCCTACAATAATATCCACTAATAATATAACAAATAGTCACATGGTAGATACAATAATAACGAAGTAAGAAATGCATAAAATAACAACTGAATAGAAAAGAAGCAAATCAGTAGGTACTTACTCCAAAATAAAGAAATGTTAGGGGTCAAAATTAGTCCGTATACGTGGAAATATTCCCGGCATTTGTCGAATTTCATTAGCTGCAGCAAAAATACGCTATTTAAGATCTGCTGCATCGACCATAGGCGTCCGGTACACATTTCTGTCTCATACACCCCCATACAAAAATGTCCAGAGAGACTTACAGGGCCATTTCCCGAAAGTTGGTATGTAAAAATTCACAAATTGCACGAGAAACATGGGGAGGGGCAGCAGCATGCAGTTAGGCACGGATTTTTTTAAAAACTCTAAATTAAAAGTACCATTTAAACGTGGAGGTAACAGTATCGGACCAAGTCACCAAGAACACCACACCACACATTCACTGAAATCTGTTTCTGGAACCGAGATCTCTGTACAATGTATAGATTTGCATCACACCAATAGTAAATGTTGAGGAAATTTAGTATGCCGTCTCTAATAATAATTACAGATTCATCCACAAAAACACTTTGCTTGTAAAATCTGGATCTTGTGCTATTGTATCGAAACCACTGGCACAATTTCACACAGGGGCTGAAAATCACTGTTATTTAATGCCTGAATTCTTTATACATGATAGGGGTGTAATAATTATTCCCAAAGCACACGCCACACCGGTACTGTTAGATATTGCGCCTCAGATCTTCCTCAACGAGGTTTTCTTCGACGGACTGCATACAAACAACAAGTCTCATTTAAATTGTACTGATATTATTCGTATATTAACACCATATCTGGTAGTTCTTGATTAGAAAACATTTTATAGAATAGAATACAAGTTACATACTGACCTAGTTACTTGCCATTAGATTTGCTTGATTGGAAGTCACGTGAAAGGTCAGCGAATTAGAGAAGCGCTTTACGCATGTAGCTAGTCCGAAGCATTCTGGCCTTGCACGTGCACAAGATGCACAGGGTCGACTTTCATTTATGGTTAATTTTCTTAATTAATTTTCTCGAAAACAAAAGCATTTAGATCATCAGTTACTTAATAAAAGTTGATCATTTTTGTACCCTGTATCACCCTTTTCAAAGAACCCACTTATTTCAAAAACACCTTGTGTACTACTTTCTACTGCAAACATAGAAGTAGATATAAATTGTATAATCGAATTTTACTGCAATAAAAGTAATACATTTGTTGCGAAATACGAAAACACTTTCTATACATTATTATTATAATAATTGTAATAAAGTAATGTTAAACAAGGCATTTTTCCGTGTACCCTATTTTGTTTTACATTTCAACATTAGTTACAGGTTAATCATAAAAATAAATTTTTATTACAGGATTTTCTACCAACTCCTTTAATTTTTACAGATACGTTTGCTAGCAAAGTAGCAGCCATCCAAGATAAACATGCAGACGCCAGCATTGGCAACGTTACCGGAAGTAATGCAGTCAACGTGTTCCTAGGTATCGGCGTCGCATGGTCAATTGCTGCCATATATCATCACGTCAAAGGACAAGTCTTCCATGTCGATCCTGGCAAGTAAGTGTCTTGAAAGTAATTGTACTTAATTCTTGAAAACGTTACACTTAATCATATATCATCGAATAATTTGTTCCAGTCATTGATTAAGAAATAAAAAGAAGTGTCCAAACTAAAAGTGTAATGAAATTGATATTAATGATCATATGTATATTAAAAGTGTCTAGAGTACTCAAAATGTGTCAATAAACCGGTTCTAGTTTTCAGTTTCTTAGCAAATTTATTGATTCTACAGAAAATTCATAATAATTTTTATGTTATTTATGTACTAATATAGCTTGGTCAATTTGTTGGTAAATATATTGGATACACAAATGTTCATAAATTTTTTAAATACAGGGTGGCCAAATGAAAACGAAACAGAGTAATTTTCAGGAATTGCGTCAAGATTGTAGAAAAACGCTCAGACCCGTCGATGTTAGATTAAAGGGGAACATTCTTTGCTGGTATTTTTGACTCCGACACTTTCACCCCCAAGCAAGGGTAAACATCACCCCAAAATATTTAAAAGGCATTGGGGGTTGAATAATATTTCTTTTGAAAGCTCTTACAATTCTCTTTACAACAGACTTTAAATTTTATAATTCCGCCCAATACTTATTAAGAATTTTGATTTTAAAGTTGAAACTTATGTACAAACAATTAGTAACGATAAAAATGTCAGTCATTCGAGTTAAGTACGCCAATAGTATAAATTTAGTATTTCTTGTGTTACATTGGTTTTTGGCGATTTGTTATTAATTTCGTAAAAAAAAACACATTTGTAAAAAACAAAAATGAATGCTATACACACACAATGAACGTAAAATTTGTGGATTCCAAATTATTTTCTAGTATTATTTAGAAGCGTTGGTTGGTAGTTTATTTAATTGTGTTTTTGAAAATGAAACACTATGGTTTATTCCGTTGCGGAAAGGGTAGATATCATTTCGCTTTACTTTATAAACAATAAATGTGCGAATAGAACAGCTCAGCTATTTAATGAACAACATCAAGATCGACATGTCAGGAGGAAGTATGTTCTAGAGTTTCCTTTTCAACATCTGTTTTTCTGATGAATGCAGTTTTTTCTTGAACGAGACAGTAAATCGTCATAATTGCCACTATTGGTCCGATTCAAACCCAAGAGTTTTTCACGAGGTGCAACCGGAAAAATAAATTAAATGTATGGGCTGGAATTTTCGATGACCGGCTGGTGGGTTCTTTTTTTCTACCTGGTAATTTGACTGGCCGAATGTATTTGCAATTACTGGAATACGCTATTGAATTGACCCTGCCTTGACTGATATTATTGAAAATGTTCCAGAGTATGATGAAGAGCATTTGATTTTTCAACAGGACGTATTATACGGTAACTGTCCGTCAGTATTTGGACCAACGTTTTATACGGAATTGGATTGGGAGAAGAGGTAGCATAGAGTGGCCTCCATGATCACCGGATTTATCGTCCCTTGATTTCTTTTTGTGGGGATACCTAAAAAGTAAAATCTATAAAACACAGGAAAATTTGCATCATAGAATCGTCGACGAATACCGTCGAATCACTCCGGAAATGCTTCGGAATGTGCGCGAACGTTTCGAACAAAATCTTTATTCTTCTATGGAAGCGGGCTGTCATCAGAAAATTTAAAGTCTGTTGCAAAGAGCATTGTAAGAGCTTTCAAAAGAAATATTACTCAACCCCCAATGCCATTTAAATATTTTGGGGTGATGCTTACCCTTGCTTGGGGGTGAAAGTGGCGGAGTCAAAAATACCAGCAAAGAATGTCCCCCTTTAATCTAAAATCCACGGGTCTGAACGTTTTTCTACAATCTTGACGCAGTTCCTGTAAATGGCTCTGTTTTGTTTTCATTTGGCCACCCTGTATATCAGTGAGTCACGATAAAATATTTTACCATTATGTAAGGTCATTAAAACGTCATTTGGAAGAATATACAATTTTTTTTATTTATGAATAACAAGGTATTAATTATGAATCCAAGACGGAGACGGCAGCAATAAAAATTGTCATATTGCTACCTAGAATCATATTATTATTGATTTATTTTCAATGTAACCATAAAGCCGACTACACTGTGTACTAAATCGTCAGCACCTGTCAAACTGTGATGAAGGTTAAGTTTTTGGCAGACGAGACGCTATTAAATCTCCTTGGAAATAACTCACTAAATAAATTTTCCTTTCCTACCGTAATATAATATCAGAGAGCACAAAACACATCCACAAAATGGAATGTCTAGAAATGACGACAGGGAAAGAAGATTTATTTCGAATAATTTCATTTGATCTTCGGGCTTAGCAATTCGGTACAATGCCTACCATAAATCGAAAGATTAACTTGGTATCTATTTATGTCATTGCAATTTCTCTTCCTTGACCTAGTAATAATATTTGTCGAGCTTTTTGTTTTTTCAAATTTTAATTTAAATATTTTCATAACGAACCCTAAATTGCTTACGATTCTAAAACTTAACTGCAAAATGATATTTTAAATTCTAAATCTACGTTCCCATTTTTTAGAAATAATATACGGAATTATTGACAAATTATGTTGTCGGAAACAATTACTCTACGGACTTCAACCCTATCTAACATTAAATAACACCAGCAATATCTAGTAAAGGACTAAGATCTTTCGTCAGCAGAATTACCGGACGTATGTATATGCTGTATGTATAGGTTATATTTCATCCGCATTCAAACGATATAGCATGTCCTATTTAGATGACAAGGCGGGTATAGGAGGAAGTATTTCTTAAAAGTCATATATTTTATTTTTTGCTTTTATGCTTTTATTTTGCTTTAAAGATTAGTAAATTAAAAACCGAAATTTTAAATCAGAACCAAGCTATACTTTTCAGAAGGTTTTTGATGCACTGAGCCCAAATCTGACTTCAGAATTGCTTCATTACGAGAGATTTTCGAGATATCCTAACCTAAACGTGAGAAAAACACGGTTGTTCACTGTACTCGAAATTATTTACATCACGAAGTAATTTTTCTCAAAAAACTCATTGTGGTAATAAGTACTACTCTTTCCCTTCAAAATCCATTTTGAATCCTTCGAATATATTTTTTCCTCTCCGAGAAATCGTATTTCGGAACTGATTAGTTTGATGTATTTGTCGGTGATCAAAAATTAAGTAACATCAGGTGAAGAAAAAAAGAGAGAAGAATCAAATTAAAAACACTTAAATTCCCGCTTATTCTTAAAGTCTTCGAGGTCGCTGACTTCAAATCTGAACTCAGACTTACAAAATTCGAAATGTCGATTCCTATATGGCGGATGGAATAAAAAATTGTTGGTTTTAGAAATTAAAAAAAAAATTGTCAAATATATACCTAAACCATTCAATGTAATGTTTTTTATTGCTTCAAATACTACTCTACACTATGATATGATATATAGTATTATAGAGACATATCTATCTAGTAGGAGTAATTGTCATATTGCACATACCTAGAGTATCTTGTACGACAAATCACGAACGGGACCCTTACAATAGTAAAGGTCACACCATGCCAGTTATTTCTGTAAACTTTTAACCATTTAAAAATAAATACTAGAAAAACTTTCGTTCCACTTTTTCAATTACCTCAGAAACAGCACGTTGCAAAACTTATAACAAATGTCTAACACCAGAACAAACTAATTTAGAAAAATTGAACATAGAACAAGTATATCGACAAGAAAAACTAAGAGAAACCAGAAAGCAACTCTAATTTCTATTGTAGAGAATCAAAATATATAATCGATATTAAATGGAAGTTGTAAAATAAAAAGGCCTTACTTTTCTTAATGGAAGAATTGTTATTTTGCTTGAGCAATTACTTAGATTTAAACAATAATAACATTGTTCGGTTAACAAAACGGAAAATCTTTCCAACATTTTTTTGGAAAACTAAATTTTTAATTGTCAAATGAACAAGGATTTAGTTACGTCTCGTTCTCTCTGCAAAAGTCGAAAAACGTCTTAATTCCTTATTGATAGGATCAAATCAAATCCCCAGTTCTAGCAGAAAGGGGAAAATTAATTTTAAACATACAGGGTGTCCCAAAAGTATGGAAACAGCACAATAACTTTCGAAAAATGCATTTTGAGGAAAAATGATTCAGACAAAAGATTTAGGATTTTTCCCTGGCTATTCAATGGTGACCCTAGATTTGACCTTGACCTTCAAGGTTATTTCAAGGTCAAGTTATTTTTTTTCAAATGGGATGACCTACTTTTGACCCCGGAAATGAAAAGAGCGGAAAATTTTACGTTCAGATATGTCCTTGACCATTTTCCGAATTTGATATCTGATGGTCATTAAAGGTCAAATCAAGGTCACGCATGATTTGGCGCGCTGTCTTGAACACGTGTTGCAAAAAAAATTACCATAACTAACGTTGTAGGATCTTTTCCCTGGCTATCTGACGGTGACCCTTGATTTGACCGTGACCTTCACCTTCAAAAACCGCACTATATCAGTTTTGGCAAAAATCGGTTGATTTTTGAAATCGCGTCCGCCATCTTGGTCTAAAATTCCTCAAAAACAGATATCAGATTCGTAGTCAGCGACCCCAAAAACTCCCCTATACCAAATTTGACGTAAATCGGTTAATTTTTTGGAATCGCGTCCGCCATCTTGGAAAATGGTCAAGGACATATCTGAACGTAAAATTTTCCGCTCTTTTCATTTTCGGGGTCAAAAGTAGGGCATCCCATTTGAAAAAATAACTTGACCTTGAAATAACCTTGAAGGTCAAGGTCAAGGTCAAATTTAGGGTCACCATTGAATAGCCAGAGAAATATCCTAAATCCTTTGTCTGAATCATTTATCCTCAAAATGCATTTTTCGAAAGTTATTGTGCTGTTTCCATACTTTTGGGACACGTATAATTGATTTAGAATCAATTAAAATTTTTATGGTTCTCAATTTTTAAGAGATAACTTTAGTTGAGGCCAAACGAGGCTTCAAATTAACTGCTTGACCTGCTATTTGTAACACCCTGTATATACATATGCAGGGTGATTCACTTTTTTATGATTAGGACTTTAATCATCTCAAAATAATGTCATTTTCTTCCAAAGGCTTCCTTTTAGAGATATAAACTCGTGAAAAAACATTTTTTTTTGGTTTTTATTTAATTTTTCTTAAACTATGAAAGCCATTTGTTTTATATTTATTATGAAATATACGAATGAGAAGCTATATATATTTTAACGAACGTTCAAATAAAAACGTGGTCAAGTTGGTTCTGAAAATTTGGACGTAGGGCGTAGCGTATAGCAAATGAACTTAAACGTCATCTGTCAAAGCGCTATATCGCCGCTATCAATTTGAATATTTTCGTTTTAAAAAGCGTTTAAAATGGTGTTTTCTCAAGAACAAAAAGTGTTTATCATAGAGTCCTACTTTAGAAATGGACGCAAGATTGATGGAATATGGAAGTATTCTATTGAGGAATGTTTCATAGAATTTCAAAATCAATTTCCCGGCGTTGTTGAGTACAAAATTTTTCAAAGTGCAGTTCAGCGTTGTGTTAATGTTTTTCGTGAAACGGGCAGTGTAACAAGAAAAGAAGGAAGCGGCCGACCTAAAAAGCGGACTGAAGAATTAAACGAAAATGTCCAACAAATAATGGAAAATGCGCCAAGAACTTCTGTACGTGTTTTATCACAAATGGTGGGAGTGTCAGTCGGTACCTGCCACACAGTGTTAAAAAAAGATTTGCGTTTGTTCTCCTATCGTTTAACTTGTCAGCAAGAACTTCATGAAGTTGATTTTCCGCGACGGGCTGTATTTTGTGAATGGTTTTTAAACAACTACGGTGAACTTCATAATATCACCTTTTTTTCTGATGAAGCCTGATTTCATTTAAGTGTTATAACAAGGAGGGGGACACTTTCCGCAGCTCCTTTAATTGTTTGTTAATGTTATCACGATTATTCTTTAAAATAAAGTTATATAGTCATTAACGTTATTGAAACTGACAGCTGCTATACAGCTCGTTGAGAAATGAGGTTAAGTTGGTCGCTATAAGCTACGCCCTACGTCCAATGTGTCAGAGCCAACTTCGACCACGTTTTTATTTGAACGCTCGTTATAAATTATTGTAAAAATAGATCAATCATAGGCGTCCGTAAGGGGCTCTGATCCCTATTTTTAATATAATTTCTACGCCACTGGAAATTTTTCAAAATTAATATTTTTTTTCATTGCGGTTTATTTTACAGCAAAAAGGTCTCTCAATATTTTTAAATGAAATTCATTACAATTAGGTAAACGGTAAACAGGGTAATGATTGAAGTATGTACAACACTATTTAAATTTATGAATAAAAAGGGGTTCAGAATATATCAGTTACGTGTTAATAATATTTTAAAGTGCTATCTTTTTTATTTTATTACTTAAAGAAACTGTTGTAGGTGGCACAGATTTTTTTAAAAAAAATCTCATGCTCCTTGAAGGTCTTCGAATATTAATTGTTTATACGTATTTTGACATATTTCCTGAGTCATTGATTTTACGTTGCATTATTAAATTGTTATTTCTGTTTGTTTCTCAATATTAAATATTTTATTCTGTATTACTTTGTTTGAAATAGATCCATAAGTAGCCATTTTCTCAAAAACCAAGCATTTCATTTAAAAATAGTAAGAAAAAATTTTGAAAATTTTCCAGTGGCGTTGAAATTATATTAAAAATAGGGGCAATCGGAGCCCCTTACGGACGTCTATGATTGATTTATTTTCATAATAATTTGTAAAATCGATAAAGCGTTTCATTCGTACACTTTATACTAAATATAAAATAAATGGCTTTAATAGTTTAAGAAAAAATAAATAAAAACCAAAAAAAAATTTTTTTTTCAAGATCTTATATCTCTAAAAGGGCCTTTGGAAGAAAAAGTGTGTACTTCAAAATAACTTTATTTTGACGAGATTTATCGATGGTTAACGTCCTAATCATAAAAAGTGAATCACCCTGTATAAATACATAAAATAATAACTTAGTTTTTATTGACAATACGTCATCTTTTTATACTGAGATCATTATAACAAAAATATCAAGGTGATTCTGATAACGATGGTAGTTCGAACACATACATTATTACATTTATTACAGCAATTTTAAGAACATTTGTTTTTGGTGTTTTCAAATAAAATAAAAAATTGTAGTAGTTCTACATTGCAAATTTTGAATTTTAAATACTGTAGTAACTCCCTACAATGAATTACCCAATTTTCAAGTTTAGATGGAAACCAAACAGAAAAATAAAGCTTTCTTTGAGCTAAGTCATTAAGTTGAAACTTAGCTAATAGTTGGGATTGAGATGGATAGATATTATCAGATTTGAAACTTAGGTACTTAAGATACTATTTTATCATCCCTATAGCAACTATAGGTGGGCTTCTGCTTTTGAAACGGTATTTTATTTATACGCAAACTAAAAGATAATGATTTATTTTCAGCCTGGCATTTTCTGTAACGATCTTCTGCACGGAAGCCGTGCTAGTTATCATCATCCTGGTAGCGAGGAGGTCGAGATTCGTAGGCGGCGAACTAGGAGGTCCAACCGGTATCAAATATATCACATCATGTTTTCTCTTCTCTTTGTGGATCATCTACCTCGTCATGTCATCCTTGGAAGTGTATGATGTTATCCATGGGTTCTAGATATTATATGTACTTAATTTATTTATTAATAAGATGTACTCGAATAGTGACAGGAGTTTATTAGCGAATGCGTAAATATCTTTAGAGTAGTAAGCATTTTAGATACATCAACTTTGATGCGAATAGATTTATATAGATAGGTGCTGCAGAAAGACATTTTACGAGTAGGGTTTGTTTGCAGAATTATTTAAAACTTATAATCAAAACGCGTAAAAATAAACATATGCAAATTTACACAGGGATTTTATTTTTTACCCTTCAGATGTAAGGCAAAGTGGCAATTATGAATTAGGGTTGTTCAGGGTTGAGTAAAACTGCGACATGTAGGTGAAACTATACACCATTTTTCTTGCTGTTAAATTTTGTGATTTATTCAGTGTGATTTTTTGTTACAAAAAAACGTTTTGTGTTTTAATTTTGCCTGAAAAAATAATGTAATCATTTTTTTGTTTTATGCCATCTAAACGACTCAAAAATTGTCAATATTAAATATACTCAAGAAACGATTTTTGTGAAAAAATGCTAAATTTTTAAATTCTGGTATGCCACACCAAGAGACTAATTTTAACTAACCTTTCAGTTTTACCCATCCCTGATTTACAAAGGATAAAAGGTAAAATACTTGTGTAAATATTCAGTGGTATATCTATAAGAATTTTTAATATACGTATATGTATTCGAAAAACTTGTTTCTGTAACTTCAGTTTCTATCTTGACCTGAAATTGGAGCTACCCTATACAGGGTGTTCCCGAAAAATATGGACAACGCTTTACCACAAGTTCCTTGGATGAAAATAAGACCTAACTTACATATATATACAAAAGTGCACGCCTACTAAGATATAGCCTTCTAAATATAGCACAGTTAACCTAGTTTTTTCAAATAAATTGAAAACTATTTTTTTATACGACTGCCTTGCAAAAGGGGGTTTTGCGCACGGAAAACACGCCTTGAAAACGGTATTTTGCACACGCCGTGTGCTAAACGTTTTGCACACGGTTATGTCATCTTTGCACACGCGTCTCCAGATTGTGATTTTTGTTTGATGTTGTCACCCAAATTATGCAATGTTTCAAGTTAGCTGAGTTTCATAGCAACCGTCACGGCTCCTTTATTTTGTTGATTAGATATTTAAAAAATTGTTGAATTCCCGAAGTTTGGGTGTGAAAATGTGTGATTCTGAAGAGATTTTACAGAAAGCAAGCGAAATGTCTTCGGAACTACTGCCCACAAAATCCAGAAACAGGTATGAGGCTGAATTAAGCCGATTCATGGACTGGCGACTAGCCAAAAATGTCCAAACTGGAAGTTTCGAAAAAGATAGAGTCTTCAGTGTCTTCTGCTGCCACAAAACCAGAACAACGATCGTCTACTAGAATACAACAAGAAAATAACGACCGCACGCTGAAAAACTGCACTAAAAACACGACACCAAAAATATTCTCTATTACGGAAAACAAGGTGCACAATAATACTGCTTTTCCCAGCGTAACCTTGAAGGAATGTTCAAATGTTACCATAAATATTAAATTTTCGTAATAAAAACGAGTTACATTAAAAGTTGTATTTAATTTATTTTGTTAATGCGTTGGAAATTTTAGTAATAAAAACGATTTAAATTAAAATTTGATTTTTGTGGTCTCTATTTGCAGTCGTATAAAAAGTATCGTAAAAAACTCGTTTGAAAACCTCTTTGCACACTCGCTCGACTTGTGGACCTCGCCTTCGGCTCGGTCCACCAATATGTCTCGCTCGTGTGCAAAGAGTCGTTTTCAAACCTTGTTGTTTAATATACTATTTTAGTAATCGGAGTTTTTGCCTACATTTAGTGTATAAAAATGCCAATTTTACTCGAAATCCATAAACGACATCAAAATTTTGTAAGGGACAAGAAATCTTCTAAAATAGTGCTTATTTTTACAAATATAAATTCTGGCGACATTGGCGTACACACAAAAAAAAGTTACGGGATATTCAGTGGCGCACCAAGAGAACATCCTTTATATGTATTCTCACCAAATTCTATATTTACATTGCCCTTATACAAAAAAACATGTGTACCAAATTTGAAATTTCTAAGAAAAATAGTTTCCAAATTATTTGGAAAAAACTAGGATATCTGTTCTATATTTAGAAAGCTATATGTCAGTAGGCGTGCACTTTTGTGTATAGGTAAGTAAAAGGCTAATTAATAGTATATATTATTTTCATGCAAGGAACCTGTGGTCAAGCGTTGTCCATTCTTTTCAGGGACACCCTGTATATCACTAGGGTTTTCTGTTTATCTAACATAGTATTATCAAGTAAATATTTTGATAAGTTCGTGTACAAATATTCGACAGTATTTTGTCAGTTTAACGCATATATAAATGAAAAGTTTCTATTCGTTGGCTATGACAAAACAAGAAGAGAAAATCGTTAGCTAAAAAGTGTGAACATATGTACATCTTTTTTTTAAATAATTTCCCTAATTAAATTATTGGAAATCCTTAGTAAATCCTACTATATCTCAGCTACTGTAAGTTGCTCTCTTAGTAACGATTTTCAGACATCTGTGTTTATTATAACATTTTTTTATTTTCGAACGAAGAATTTAGTGATGGAGTGATGAAAATGGATTCTTATTTACTTTTTGCAGAAATATTCGATTTTATTGCATGCCATCGAAATCTTTTTTTAAAAAAATAATTTTGTGAGAAATCAGTTGTCCACAAAAGAGTCACGCTACTTTTTATCCACAGCCTATATCAGTTTTAATTTATTTTCAAATCAAATTTTAGATTGATTGTTTAGAATATTTACCTATAAATTGTTCAGAATGAAATAGTAAATCTCTAAAATTTCATTTTGTACCTATATATTTCAGAAATCTCGAATAAAACTCCTGCTCAGAGGTGCTCTTTCAAGGGGATGTTGTACTTTTATGGGACATTTTCGGCTTCTGCTTATTAGATTGGTTCTTATTTTGAATGAAGACTATATAGTGATGAAGTTTGGCAAGCTAAATGCGATACCATTTACCGTGAAATGATAAACGTATGGCTAATTAACATTTTCATTTAAAATGTTATCTTCATGAACAATATACAAAATAAAAACTGAAAAACTAGAGAAAATAATATACCCAACATAAATATTCTTTTACAGTACTCTATACAGTATATTTCATTTTAAATTAATAGAGCCATAACTACCTCCTCAAGGGAGGTAAAGAAAACCAGTTTTGACTATTGTTTAAAGCCATCTTTGTAAATCTTTTGGTGCCGTGTGTAGCGTCGATCATGTTATGTCAATATATATTTGACAGCAGCTTACTTTACATCAAATTGTAAAAAACATTATTAGAACATTGGGGCATAGACACGCAGTTTTCTAAGCAACGAATCTACAGAAATTTATGAAATTTTGAAACAATTTTATAGGAAACATTTTTTCATAATTTGAATATTTTACGTACCTATATTTAATCAGAAAATAGTTCGCCATTTTGGAAATAAGTCGACTGGTCTACTGATAGTGCACAACCTGATAAACTTATCAATATTTATCTACAATTTATTTAAGAAAATAATAAATGGCCATTGCTGAGATTACTTTATTCTTATCGGCCATTTTGTTTTTCGATCTAGTGAAACTACTACACAGTATACTCGTAGTACCAGAAAGTGCACAAAAATGGCCTTTAAACAATAGTGAAAACATTTTTTTCTGTCTCCCTTGCGAAGGAAGTTAAAACTCTACATTAATTTAAAACACGCTGTATATACAATATCCATTAAAAATATAACTGAGGAATTAAAGAATATTTATATTTGTTATACATGGATCTACCTACTCGTATGTGGTATATACAAGGTGTCCCGGTACTTGGTACAAAAAAGTCGAGTGCAAATGGCTGAGGTCAAAATATTTATATTAAGAACTGATATTATTTTGACCTCATCTATTTGTACTCGACTTTTTTGTATTAAGTACCGGAACAAAAATTGCTCCAGGGCAAAAACGGCTTATTTCTGCCTAGAGGTTTATATGCAAAAATTGTCTACCTCAATGTCCTCCATATCCTCCTCAAGTTTGGCAACACCTTTTTGAAACACCCTGTATATAGATTTATAATTTAAAATTACTGGTGAGTATTCAAAATTAGATAATAGTCGGTTATAACGCAAATCTGAGATTTTTGTTATAGAGTCAATAAACTTTTTTTTAATATTAGCAGCTTTTTTAGGAAACAAAATTGTACCACGGTAACTCGATGTAAATCAGTTATCAGTTTACCAAAGAAGCTACCCTTGAAATAAGATGAATTGACTTTGAAGCACGTAAGTTAACGTATAGAGGCTGCTTGGATTTTGTGACTATTATGTTTTTCTCAAAAATGTTTATATTTACAGTGATTTTAATAAGAGTATTATTGAATAAAATGAAATTTTAAAAACCTAACCTCAAAAAAGTTATGTCGCGGGGAGAAATCATAACTACCAACCTCTATGATCAGATATCAAATTTATTTAGCAACACTTTTAAAAAGTTACCTGTACCAAATGCCAGTGCATGCTTTTTTAAAAAACGTATGGCTAAAATTTAATTTAAAAAATGATTATTGACACCTTTGGCCCCTGGTGAATAAGAATAAATTGTCTTCTTTGTTTATGTTCTTTCAGCTTCCTTATCCTAGGCGTTTTTTAATATTTTTCCCATAAGGCCTCCATGGCCTACTTGATAAATAGTTATCATTTAAACGAGGCCGCAACAAATATGTAATGGCAGCACACCATTGATTAAAATTCAAAGTTGAATATTCTATTCTAAAAAAACACGTTGTACCTTTTTAGGTTAATGTAGTATATATTTTCTTAGAATGACAAAATTATAAAAAATAACCTGACAAATCCTTCTCCTTCAAACATGAAAAAATATTTATTCATAAAAAAATAAAGAATATTACTCTAAAGATATTTAAAGCTGATTTTTTTGTATGTATTATGTATTATTTGTTGCAATAGTATTTATCAAGTCAAGTAAAATCTTAGAAAAGAAAGCTTCCCATTTTATGATTCACTGTATATTTATAGTCAATTATTTTTTTAATCGATACTAATGCCTACGATAGAAACTGATCAATGCAATCGATTTTGAGAAGTTGCATATTTAGAAGAACTGTAGGTACTGTACTAACATCCAAATAATTAATGAACTGAATTAAACTTAATGAATAAACGGCATTGTTATTAATTAATATTAGCATTAAACAGCCGATATGATACAGACGACCAGAGACTTACGAAAATAAATTATTCCAAAAAAACTTACTGTTATTTAAAATCATAGATATAAGTTATCGCTTATCAGCACTTGGATCTTTTTCAGCAGTATTCGTTGTCCTTGGATAGAGAAGCGGCAATCAGGACCATAATGAGTAGAGCTGTCATAATTAGCCGC